GTGCGCGTGCGCGTGCGCGTGCGCGGCGTGCGTGCGACTTCGGGCATACCGGTTTGGGCGCTCGCGGGTTAGGAGTGATACTCTTTGGTTGTGATGCAGCGTTGCAGCCTCTCCACTAGAGTTTCCCCGAATGTGGCGATTTTAATGTTTTGGTTGCAAGGAGGCCTTTGCCCAATAATGCAGCTCAAGCCCTTTTGAGCGAGAGCCGATAGGCTTTTAGTCCTACCGCACACGTTCGCGAACACCGTGGCTGCAGGTTCTCATCGAGTTTCTGTCCATGGATTCTGTCCTGGTGGGTTGATGTCTGGTCTCTCCGCTAGTATTCTTGTCTCTCGGTTCAGCCAGTTCAATCTCCTTGAAATCAGCATCATACCTTCGGACAGCAGCAAGCCGGCTTGTTCTGTAACCAATATACGGAATATACTCCATATGGTTCCAATCCGCGCACACAGCCGGTGCCCGACCTCTCGCAGTTCCGCAATATTCCGCACAATCAAAGATGATAATCTGCGCTAATCCGCTCAATCGGGCTTTATCTTAGCATCGTCGACAGGTCGGGGCCTAAGACACACAGCACAGCAAAAAACATTGGTTCCGATGAATTGTAGCTGTTGTCGGAAGTGCGGGGCGAGGCCGCTTTGCCACGGGCGGATAGCAGTTTCCCGTTCACATCTTGTATGTCGCTGTCCTTGGCGGCCCAGTGGACATTACGCACACATATCCCTCATTGTCTGATTGAATGCAACATCTTCTGACGGTCGGCCTGTCCTTGAACTTCCCTAGCCCCAGCGCACTGACTCCCGAGCTGCAGTTCTGTCATGCTTCTTCCCACCTTCCGATTAGGTCCTCAAGGTGACCCCCCGACCCCAGTCACCTTGAGAGTAGGTTGCTTCATCTCGCATCCCTGCCGAAGTGCTCGACATGTACTGGTAGCCAGTGTGTTGCAAGATGGGTCGTACGGTCTCGAAACTGCGAGGGGGCTGATGCACCTTAGCCTTGGGACTCCTTTGCTTACAGTTTATAATAAGTTATTCTACCGAGGCATGAACTTCACGGAAGACAGAATGATCATGGCGACCTGCTCCAAGGATGCGTTTCGTGTTGCGCAGTCACTGTGACCAACTCTTTGACAGGCAGATCTGCCTTTCGCCCCTATTGTCCCAACTGAGATCCTGTGAGTAAAACGCTCTGCGGTTTGTTATTTCTCGTTTGGACATGTGTCCTTTCGTCCGTGGCTGGGTGGAGGGCAGACACCTAGGATGCGGCGAGACTCTGCCATTCTGTTGACACGAGGTGTCATGTTCGATGCTGTTCTGTGTGATCTTCGTTGGTCTCAGCCGATTTGCGGTGCGAGGACGGTACAGCGAAGCTTTGGACGCTGGATGATTACGAATGCATCAAAGAGTCCGCCGCTTGCATGTAGTTGCAAGCACCCATTCTGTGTAGAAGCTGGGCTGTTCAGGTACAAGACAGACAGACCTCTCAACGATGTCGCCATCTCACCTTTGTACTGCTCGGAGAATGCCAGCTGGATCAAATGGATGCTAAGTTTCAGTGCTGGGTAGCTTTTGCACATGGTGATGTTAACAGAGCTTCTGGACTGCGCTGAGTTCCTGAGCGTGCATGTGACACCCCTGTCAGAACTGCAAGATGCACTTGCTGATGGGCGGTGGACAGGATGCAAAGGACTTTAGGGTTTGGTCCTTGTAGGGTCTTGCAGGGAAGCCGTTTTAAGTTTTCAGCAGAAGAAATCTGAAGGCAAAAGTTCTTGCAGCGAGGATGTAGCAGTCTCTGGGGCCAGCGGCGCTTTCGAGGCACATTGCCGATCCGACCGCAGCACCCTGGAAATATCTTGAGATTCTGGCGAGGCTTTGCTGTGGCACATGGTCTACGAGGAGGAGATCGGATCTGTGAAAGGACACATAGGTCCATTGACGCTTGGCGATGTCTGGAAAGAACAAAGATGTCCAGGGTGCTGCGTGATGTTGTGATTGTTTTGCTGCCTCAGGAACTCAATAGCATGGTTCCGAGACGGCGCCGGCTTCGTGACTGGCGGCGAGGATGGCTACGTTAGAGTCCATCACTTTGACAAGGACTACTTCACCGCGAAAAGATTTGAGTAAGCAGATCACGTATCACCATGTTTCTCAGCAATGTGTAAGACTGGCGCAACAGGTTTACCAGCTTCGTTAGAAAAAGAGTCTCAATGCCGAAGCCAACTACCTGCATTGCAGTTTACGGCATAGGGATAGACCTTCCTCTGTGGTAGCAAACTGCCACCTCCTAGGCCTGCATGACCGCAAAGCACTTGCAAGAGGAGGGCTTACAGGCTCGCTCACAGCGTCTTGGAACTGGCTTGGGGCCGATTTCTGTGCCTGCCAGGTGGAGCTGGACGTGCCTAAGGCAGTCCTGACTGACATGGATGGGTGCAGCGCTTAGTCTTTACCTGGAATCTGGGCAAACATGCGCTGCCTCGTTCTGGAAGCCAGCACGACAAGAGGTCGCTCGAACTGAAGAGCGCGTCCTCAACGGCGCACGCCAAGATGCAAGAGGTGGAGGCCACTGGAAACTCCTGACTTGTCATGAGCAGCATGGGAGTTCAACTGCTTGAAAACTCGACAGTTCGCCGCTGTGTCTTTTCGGCATGCGAGAGGTCAAAATTCCCTGCAAGCTTGGCTACGAACTTTTCGTGCCGCGCGGGTGCGTCCTTCGAAATACATTGTGCGCCAGCCAGCAGTGCCTTTGTCCGCGTACTTTCTGGGCAGCTCTACTGGCGACATGCCACAGTATTCTTTTTTCTGCCCAGTTCTGCCCTGCAATGCATTGGCTCGGTCTGCTGCCAGCCCTGAGTGCCTGCATGTGGAGGTATGTTATCTCAATAGCCGCGTTCTGTGGACCACATACAAAAACAAGGCGGGCCGTGACCTTGCGCTCGCAAATTGTGACCATAAGAGTTCATCCGGTTAGACAAGCCAAGTTATGGCAAATGCCTGCAGGATGAATGCAGCGCAAGCAGTGGGCAAGGTGCTGGTTCTGCCAACTTGCCAGGGAGAATGTAGATATACTTTGATATACAATGTTTTACGCATGTGTTCAGCATAAGCTACTGTGCGATGTGCACACAGGTGTCGAACATGCAGGTGTACCTGAACCGCGGCGTCCAGGACAGACTGCACTTTCTTGCACCTGCTCTGCATCTTGCCGCAGTGGAGAAATTGCATGCCGTGTCTGCTAGCCCCAGTAGTTGGAACTTGCAGGGCCTGGTAGTGGCGCTCGCATTGTGGTGCACCTACTGCACCATCGCAGGGGAAGTGCAGGCAGCTTCTGGTAAGATCCCACGTAGCGCAGCAATAGTCTGGTTGAGCTTTGACCAGGGCGAGACCGAAAAGCATTGGTTCCTGCGCTTCCTCTTCTACTGGACAGCGTTCACAGCTTTGCGCGGTGGTTCCGTATGGCATGTACTCTAAGTGCTTTGTGCCGTGCAGGATCATCCTCTATCAGATCATTCCTGTGAGCCTCTACGTTTGCTTCGAGATTGTCAGACCCCCATTTGTCGAGAAGGCATATGAAGCTAGACCTCATCCTGGACCGAGATCAAGCTTTCTCTGGCGTTCCAGATCAACAGGGATCCCAGCATGGTGGACCTGAGGATGGCATGTTACCACTTTTGGTATCTTCGTCTGACTTGCAAGTGACACTGACAAAAAAGAGCACGAAGTAAGAGCTCTGCATTGTTCTGCCGTTGAGAGGACACACCAGCCGGCAACGGCTAGAACAGCGGACTTGGTCGAAGAAATGGGTCAGGCTTGTTCCTTTTGGCCTGCTGGCCCACTTGCTTCTGCACCAGAGCCTCGTTGTCCGACAGGTGAATTTCGTGTTTTCCGACAAGACTGGCACCCTCACAGAAAACGAGATGGTTTTCGCACACTGTTGTGCCTGAGCCTTAAGCGGCAGCAGGGTGGGATTGCACCTTTGCGTAAGAGTATGGATGTGCCGTCCGCATCCGTCCACGTGATTAACATTCTGTTGTCCACTCAAGGTTGGTGGAAAAGATCTCGGAGACTTCCGCAAAGGTGGAAAACTAGATATACAGGAGGCAATCAGGGAGTACTGAAGAGAGCGATGTGCAGTCGTAAGTTTTCCGTCGCAAGGAGGCCGTTGGTGTCGCTGAAGCAAAGAGAGTTCTTGCAGATCCTGCCGACCCACTGCACTCCCAGGAGCACGGCGTGACACTGCAAAAACTGTTTGACATGCTCTGTGACTCTGTGATGCTCGGAGCGATGAGAGCAGGCGCTCTGGTTTTTCCTGAACCTTGCGACCAACCACTCCGTGCAGGTATGTGGCGACACAGGGCAGTTTCTGAGCACGGTGATTTCTGCTGTGACCAAGGTTGAGACGGGGGCAAACGGGAAGAAGATCTTTGAAGGGAGTTCCGCTGACGAGGCGCGCATTTGTCATGGGCAGCATTGCCTTATGGTTTGATCAGGTTTCTGTCAGTGACTAGGCCAGGCCGGCTTTCTAGATGGCCCAGGGCACATTTACCAGAAATCCAGATTGTCAAATGTCTCACACCAGATAAGGTCTGGACGAGAGGGACCTGTCTAACAGGCTTCGTAATGACACTGTCTGTCTTCCAGAGTTTGTGTCGGAGGCTCATGCTTGTTGAATGGTCGCTATTTATGAAGCGCCGCCCTGCCGACCTCAACAAGATCGTCACAGACAACAAAGAATAACTGCTCAAACGGTTTATTGTTGCCGCTGTTGCCAGACTCGGTTGCCCCACTTCCGCTACATGTTGTGGAATAGTGCTAAACACACAAGAAGTGCCGGCCCGAACAATACCAACCGGAGCATGCTTGCACAACCAAACAGACAATGCCAGGTTCGTGTTTGTAGGCCCGTTCAGCGTTCTGTGCGCCTATTCTTGTGTTGTTGTGACTTGGACATCATGTGACCCCATGGCACTTGGATATCCTTCAGAGCATACGTCTAAGACAAAGAGGTAGGAGATGGTAGGAGACCAAAACGAGAATATCATGCAGAGCTGAAGCAAGAAAACTTGTGTGGTCTGACATATGTCTGTCTTGACTACGGTTTCCACAATGAAAAACCTCGAGTCTGAGTGGAATCGCCGCATATTGTCGATTGGGCCATCAAGCACTGGCGATTTGCAGGTGGCTTTTGTGGATGCCGCTAACGCGGTAGGCCATGCACCTAAATTCCGGTTCGTTTGGAGACGCATCTGTTGCACTAGTAAGTAAGCCTCGGGCACCTGCCAGGCGTGACCTTCGCCTCTCGCACGCGGCTAGCTGGAACGAGCCATACAGCCCGACTCCCAGATTGTTGTACAGATCTGCAAAACCACTTGCCTGCATGAGCCATGAAAAAGCTGCTCAAGGAACTCGTCGTGAAAGGACCGGGACCGCAAGAATTCACCTTCACAAATGTTTGCCCGAGGCTCAGCCAAGCTTGAGTCGTGTCCATGGCCTCCGCTGTTCATGACAGTGTAGAATACCTATCGTGAACTGAGGCGAGATTCCTTTTACTTCGGATAGAAAGCGCATGAGTGTGATTGTAAAGCACGTCGGTTCGCGACTGAGCTCCAGCCGTGCGTGTTTGACCTCCGGAACCGCCCAGCGCATGATCGTTGCTTGATTTCTGCGTAATCTCAAGCTCATAACTTGCACTTCGCTGCTAGGTGAGTACTGGTGCATGTGCAAAGGGGCCGACAACATCATGGGGTGGGGGCCTCAGAATGCTGCAAGACTTGCAACTATCACAAGATTATGGTGCAGATTCCTTTTTGCAGTCGCCGTTTGATTGGATATGAGGCCCTTGTGCTCCCGCCCACTGGATGGTGGTGCTCTTATTTATTCTGGAGAGATTGTGCGGGAAACATGTGCACCACTACCTACTTGAGGCACGCTTGGTGAGAGTTTGACGCAGTACTCCAAGCTGGGCCTGCGAACCCTTGTTGTGCTTTGGCTGACATCGGACAATTCTCTGTGCACCTCCCTTGGGGATACTGACGTCGGTTCTAATGGCGACCATGCCCAAACCACTGGTATTTACAGCATTTGGGAAGTCACGAAAGCTCGCGTGGCAGAGCTTGAGTTTAATCTTGCTTTTAGCAGGGAGGCAGTCCAGGGCGAGAAACCAGCGTATTATTGATAGTATCAATT